GGTTTCTGTCTTTCATCCTTAAATGGGGGGTGAATCAATTATTGGAGAAGTAATAAGAGTGAATCACTTCTTATCTAGAGGCCAACACATTGAATACTTCCTATAAATTACTGCAGTAAGTGAGATTTAGTCAAGGAAGAACCAACAATTGCTATGGTCTCTACGACTTTCCTCTTATGGATTATTTTGGGGCCAGTTGATATAATCTTTATAAATATTTTCAGAAAACTTGTTTCTAGTTTTGGTCATTTAGAAACACTTAGTTTCTAAAATTCAGTATGTTGTGACTTGAACGATTTTTTAGTATTTGCTTGTTATTAGAAAAATAGAAAAGGAATGAGTAAGGCTGGGCATGAAGTCTCACGCCTACAATCCCAGTGCTTTGGGAGGCTGAGGAGGGAGGATACCTTGAGGCCAGGAGTTTGAGACCAACCTGGGTAACATAGTGACACCCCGCCACGATCTCAACAACAGCAACAACAAAAAGACATTAATGAACTTTAAAAGCATATAATCACCTTATTCATTTCCTGTAAATATTTCAGGTGTTTGCTTTGCATTTGTGCTTGTGGATATACAGTTGACATTATTCCAAGAACTCAGGAGACATTCTGTGGGCTCAAGTCCTGGCTCCCCCTCCTGATAGCTGCATGACGGAGATGACTTTGGGTTTCAGTTTCCTCATCTGTGAAATGAAAACATAGTAGTCCTCCCTGGATGGGGTTTTGTTTGAGGATTTGAAGATCTAGTGCAAGTAAAGTGGCTAGAATAGTGTCATTGTTCTGAGAGTTTAAAAGATTTTGTTTTGTTGTCTAGGAATTAAAGACTAACGCCAACAGAGATCACAGAAAGCAACGGAGAGTCGTAATTTATAAGAAATGTGACCAATTTGTTCTTTCCTCATTTGTCTGAGGTGGTTCACATTCTGAAAGATCCTCTGTTCTTTGGGTTCCTCAAATCCTTTTTCCTTCTTGCTTTGTGAGCAGAACCTTGCTTTTCCTGCTGGAGAGAGCCAGCTGGGTCCTGGGTCCCTCTTTTCATTTAGGCCGTTGTCCCCTACTTTATGTTCATTAAGGATTTGGGGAGGATGGGGAGGAGGAATAAATCTCTGAAAAAAATGCAGAGACCAGTTTTCTTATTTTAAAATCATGGTCTTTAAAGAAAAATATACTAAAGGCTGGGCATAATGGCTCACACCTGTAATCTCAGCACTTTGGGAGGCCAAGGCGGGCAGATCACCTGAGGTCAGGAGTTCGAGACCAGCCTGACCCATATGGAAAAACCCCGTATCTACTAAAAATATAAAATTAGCCAGGCTTGGTGGCACATGCCTGTAATCCCAGCTATGCAGGAGGCTGAGGCAGGAGAATCACTTGAACCTGGGAGGCAGAGGTTGCAGTGAGCTGAGATCGTACTACTGCACTCCAGCCTGAGCGACAAGAGCAAAACTCCATCTCAAAAAAAAAAAAAAAAAAAAGAGAAAGAAAGAAAAGAAAAATATATTAAAATCTACCACTAGCAATTACATTTTCATTTTATATCCAGAAAATGGGCTACTCACTTGGCAATTGGTCCTAGGTTTCAGCCCTCCTAAGAGATTTCCACAGCTTTTTTACACCCAGGGTGGAGTTCCCCGTGAAGGCCAGCCCTCCTCCCTGGCAGCAAGGATGAATGCACAAGGGAGCCTGTACCACTTGCTACTAACGACCTTTCTACTCTGGTTCCCCAGGAGCAGCTGGGAGCTTTTTAGGGATGATTTGTATTAACACTCTGGTCCAGAGGTAACCGGGCCCACTCTGAAGTTAAAAGTTGTCCTTGGGTTCAAGGTGAAAATCTCAGCCTGGTCTTCAGTTGTTTTGTTTCTCTGTTATATACATTTATTGAGGTTTAACTTACATCCATAAAGTGTGTACATCTTAAGTGCTCATCTCAACAAAATTTTACACACATGCATACCCGTGTGGACACAACCCAGATCCAGGTACAGAACATCTCCGACCCCTGGTGTCCTGTCCCAGCCCAGGTCATCCTCCCCAAGGGTGACGGCCATCTGACTTCTGTCACCACAGGTTAGTTTTGCCTGCTTTTGAACTTAATATAGATGAAATGCTGTAGGAGACGCTCTTGTGTCTGGCTTCTTTCACGCAGCATTGTGTCCATGAGATTCATCCATGTTGCTCTGGAGCAGTAATGTGAGCTTTTTCATTGAGTAAATACATTCCATTGTCTGAATTTCATTGTAGTATTCCATTGAATGAATATACCCAATGTCTTCATTCTGTCCAAATGGGCCTTTGGGTTATTTCCAACTTGAAATGTACAGTCATGTACATTTCTAATTAATGATTAATATGGCCTTTGTCCTCCTGTGATGACCCTATTTTAACCAAGTTGCGGTCACTTATAACCATGAATGTAGCTTTCAAACTGTTTGGATAAGAGGAATAAAGTGGCGAGTATTTATAAAGTGACTTGAACTTTACAATTAAAAGATCATTTACTTTGAAAAGCTGTATAAATGTTATTTAAAATAGCTATGTGGCTTCTATCAAGCGATAAGTCATCTCTGAGCTTCAGTTTCCCCATCTGTTAAATGGATTTAATAATAATACTGTGCAAAAATAATAGAATTGTTTCAAGGATTAGGTGATAGTGAAGTAAAGCACTTAGATGGAGCCTGGCCATCTGAATGCTCAATATTAATTGCTGTTATTAATTTTTTATCATAATGATGATATAGCGTAAAGTCAAAGATGCTATAAAGTTGCACGAACATATAACACAAAGCAACCAGCGTAAACCAAGTGGTTTTTTTAAATGCCAGACATAAGTTGTTCTGCTTTTCTTCCTACTTTATAACCTCTTTCCCATCAACCTTGATTCCTATAGTTAAATAAACCTGTATTTAAACAAAGAGATCTCCTGGATAAGATGGAGGAGGAAGAAAAAAGAAAAAAGAACTTGGGCTGGGGAATCTGATGATTGTTGGGTCAGCATTAACTTTTGGCCTCAGTTTTAACTTTGGGGGACTGTTTTCATTGTTTGTACCTCTGCCTTAGATTCTCTTTCCTGGCCTTCTAATAATAGGTCATCATTTGAATTTAATCTGATCTGATCCAGTGTCAGGAATTCCAAAGGCCAGAGAGACAACTATTTCTTTTCCTTTTTTCTTTGGAGACAGAGTCTTATTCTGTCACCCAGGCTGGAGTGCAGTGGCAGGATGTTGGCTCACTGCAACCTCTGCCTCCAGGGTTCAATCAATTCTCATGCTTCAGCCTCCAGAGAAGCTGGGATTATAGGCGTGCACTACCAGGCCAAGCTAATGTTTTGTATTTTTAGTAGAGACGGGGTTTCACTCCATTGGCCAGGCTGGTCTTGAACTCCTGGCCTCAAGTTATTTGCCCACCCCAGCCTCCCAAATGCTGGGATTGCAGGCATGAGCCGCCATGCCTGGTCTAACTTATTTCTAATCTTACATGTTCCATTGGCTTCCCACATGGAATCACATTAAGGTGCCATCATTTTAAGTGTGGATGCTGCAGCAGAACCCAGGTGGCTTTGATGAGAATGTGCAAACATGTAAGATTAAAAAGCTGCTATTGACAAAGCAGGGGAGTTATTATTATATAAATAGTCTTCAGCCGCGTCTTTGGATTTATGGTACTGGTCATTTCAGTATTAGTCAAGAAAGCTACTCCACTGGGCAATCATTCAAAGAAGGAGGGAAGAACGCCTCCTACACCCAAAGGTGTTTCCTAACTCGAAACAGAAACACATTTCACACATTTTTAACTTTTAATTTTGAAATCATTTCAGACTTCCAGGAAAGTTGCAAAAATAGCACAAAGAAACATCTACTCTTCACCCAGATTCCCAAATGTGAGCACTTTGCCATATCTGCCTCATTCTTCTTTCTCTCTGTTCACACCCACACGCATACACATACATGCACACAAATACATGTACACACACTCTGTCATTTTTTCTGAACCACTTAAGTTGCAGACATTGTATCCTTTTACCCCTAAATACTTCAATGCATATTTCCTAAAAACAAGGCTATTCTGTTTAATACCTACAGTATAATTATCAGACCTAGAAAATTAATACTGATGCCCTCTTAGCAATATTACCTAATCTGCAGGCTGTGTTCAATGGCCAACTAATGTCCTTTATAGCAAATGAAGAATTTTTTTAGTCCAGAATCTAAGATCACATATTATATGCATTATATTTAGGTGAATCTATTTCCTCAGAAAATAATCTTTCTTTTTTTATTTTTGGAGACAGAATCTTACTCTGTCATCCAAGCTGGAGTGCAGTGGTGCAATCTTGGCTCACACTGCAACCTCTCTACCTCCTGGGTTCAAACACTTCCCCTGCCTCAGCCTTCTCAGTAGCTGGGACTACAGATGTGCACCACCATGCCCAGCTAACTTTTTTTGTATTCCTAGTAGAGACGGGGTTTCACCATGTTGATCAGGCTGGTCTCCAACTCCTGACCTCAAATAATCCGCCCGCCACAGCCTCCCAAAGTGCTGGGATTACAGATGTGAGCCCCGCACCTGACCTTCCTCAGAAAATATTCTGAGGGATGTTGAACTCTCCTTATTAGAAAATCCTTCCCTTAAGATAGTATTTTTGCTCTCCTGTTAATTGGATGACCAGTTGAAGGACTAGGTCAAAAGAATGTCTTCTAGCATATTTGCCATGGGAATAGGGCATGAAAGTAATCAAAACAAATATATTTCATTGTGTTGATTATATGCAAGTTAGACATCATTTAGGAAGACTAGGTCTTCCTGGCTTTTCAGAAAAAAAATGTTAGCATGTCAGTCATGGTGCTGCTTGGTGTTGTCTGTTGGTTGGATGTTAAGCTGTACAATTTGTGTGTCCTGGCAGCCAATGCCTAGAGGTACAGATGTCCCTTCTAAGAAAGCAGATGCTGTGTTTCTTCTTTCTTCAGACAATGGTCATAGCTGCTACACTTTCTTTGGCAGATGTGGTGCTGGAGAAAGCCATGCACAAGTGCATCTTGAAGCCCCTGAAGGGGCACGTGGAGGCCATGCTGAAGGACTTTCACATGGCCGACGGCTCGTGGAAGCAACTCAAGGAGAACCTACAGCTTGTGCGGCAGAGGAATCCGCAGGAGCTGGGGGTCTTTGCCCCGACCCCTGATTTTGTGGATGTAGAGAAAATCAAAGTCAAGTTCATGACCATGCAGAAGATGTATTCCCCGGAAAAGAAGGTCATGCTGCTGCTGCGGGTCTGCAAGCTCATTTACACCGTCATGGAGAACAACTCAGGTGAGGCTGCTGGGAGCCCAGGATCCGTGCCACTTCCCTTCCGGGCCAGGCACAGACCTGTCTCCTGTCAAACTTTCTGATTCCCAGTATCTCCTCCCTTTGGTCTGTTGATTTCACCAAGTGGCTTACAAAATTATAAGTGATTCTCTGATATCTGACAAATTAGTCACATGCAGTGGATTAAAATGTAAGCAGATGAGGGCAGCAAGATTTTTGAACCAGGCCAGTTTAATTAAAGATTTAGTTCAGGGTATGGTTACAAATTCAGTCTCTGGAGTCTGAGCTCAAATTTTTCCTCCGAGAAGAAGAAAATTAACAGAGGGAGTTTGGCCCTCTTAATCCACCTTGCATGCTGCAGTTTTCTGTGTCTGTAGCCGGATGTGACCCTTTCTTTCATAAGGTGGGGATTAGCCGAGACAGCACACACATAGCCCCAAGTGCAATGGAAATATCAGCAATTATCATTACAACATTTTGTCCAATGAAGGTTTGTTTCAATGACCTATAGTATGTGAAAGAAACTCAGAGTATTCAGTCATAATGAGGCCTCATTAGAGCCATTTCATTGGCTCGCCCTTCTTTGCTACAAGCTGAAGCAATATAATTGAAATTCTCCAAAGAGTTACAAACTTGGAAAGCCAGCCCTCAGATTTACCCTTGCTGCTTCCTGTAGATGTAGGAGTAACTATGAATCATGGATAGTGATGGAGCCCTGCATTGTCCCAGGTCTTCAGTAAGCTTATTGTAATTCCGAGGACGGTTACAAACTTTTCTTCTGAGTGAAACTGCTTAATGGAGAAGCAGCAGAGAGAAAACACAGGCTCTATTAACGACTGCTTGAGTAGACAGGAATGTGTGTGCACTTTGGGAATTGTTGAGTGAAGACATTAAAATATGAGCTCCTGGGCCTGGTAATGATAGGATGTGAACATCGCCTCCTAAGTCTGCAAGCATATTTCACATATAGGAAATGTATTTTTTATAGTTCAGTCATTTCTAAAAAATTCCCCAAATAATATCTGCACGGGATTATGCTCCTCTGAAGCAGTTTCTCGACATTGATATAGACAGGATAATTCTTTGTTGTGGGGCTGTCCTGCTTCCCGCAGGAAGTTTAACAGCATCCCAGATGTCCTCTGCACACCCACCCTCCAGTTATGTCAATGAAAAATGTCTCCAGACAGTGCCAAATGTCCGCTGGCGGACAAAATCATCTCCAGTTGAGAACCAGTGATATAAAGAAAACTAGAAGTAAAGGCTAACATTTTTTCCAATATGTTTCTATTAGTCAATGTATATCTTTAACATATACCGAGCTTGCACATTTAAAGAAGTTAGCTGTGTGCTCACATTGAATACAGAGCAAAGTTTGCTTATTTCTGGTTTGAGTTTGGTCTTGTCATTATGTTTGTGAATAATATGCACAGCAAGCAATAGGAAATAAAACACAAAGAATTAGCATAAGTAAATATTTTATAAGTGTTTTATACTGTTTGCTAAAAGTTAAAATATTTTAAAGACTATTCTGTTCTATCACCTAATTTTATACAAATTATAAAACTAGGGAGAAAATCTGTAATGTGTTCAGTGATTCATAGACATTCATTCTGAAACTGTAAGGGCTGGTCTCTAACATTAGCAGCTGGGAAGGGTCACAGGCTACACAGGATTTCAGAAACACCCACCTCTGTTTATAAATAATGCAGTTCCCCAGAGTGACTCCTTGGTTTCTAATAAAAGCAGCAAGTAGGATATGAAAGAAAGAAAAGTTGGTAAAAATATTCCATCTCGTTGTTTGTTCCTGCTCTCAGGGAGGATGTATGGCGCTGATGACTTCTTGCCAGTCCTGACCTATGTCATAGCTCAGTGTGACATGCTTGAATTGGACACTGAAATTGAGTACATGATGGAGCTCCTAGACCCATCGCTGTTACATGGAGAAGGTAACTATTTTTGAGAAAAGTTGAAGGAACTGGGTGATATTTTTTTCACTTTTTTATAATTGAGATGAAATTCCTGTCACATAACTATCATTTTATAGTGAACAGCTCAGTGGCATTTGGTATATTCACAATGTCATGCATTCTCCCCCTTTATTTAGCTTCAAACTGTTTTCTTCACCCTATAATAAAACTCTGCACCCATTAAGCAGTTACTTGGGTGCTTTTTTGACATCTTAAATGTTAACTGCATTTTTTTTTTAATTAAAAGAATGTACTAACCTTTTTCTGATTACAAAAGTGATAATACACACTCACGGTAGAAAATTTGGAAAAGTCTGGAAAAAAAATATAACCCCATCTTAACTATACTTCACTAAGATTGCTTAATGGCAATAAAAAAAATATGTTCAGTAGAATAAATGTCATTAAGAAATGGTTTCTTTGATTCCAAGAGGAAATTATAAACTTTTGTTGAGAATACTTCCATTGCCAGAAAAATAAATAACCTGTTCTTATGTTAGTGAAATGGATAAAAGTTTGGCCTTGTTTTCATTTTTTAAAATTTTACTTTCAAGATGAAAACAGTATTAATTTTTTTCCAGTTTTCTTTTTAAAGTATCTGCCCATTTTTACAATAAAAATACAGGGGTGTGGAATCTGTGCAGTTTGCTTTCAATTTATCATCTTGGCAGTTCGGGTTCCTTCTTCTTGTGTCTGCCTAACCCCAACGTGTCTTAGCAGAAATTCCTTCTCCTTACACATGCCTTAGGTATTTTGCCATGGAAATGATTAGAATGTTTGGCACGGTAGTGCACAGCCTTGAAAAGCAGAAATAACTGGGACTGTATGTGAGCTTGTCTTTTTAAAGGAGAACAAATCAAGGCCTGTGCACCGTGAATCCTCTTAATCCATTTTTATGTATCCAGATAAAAGCCCAGAGAGGCCCTGGGGGAGATTTTTATGTATTCTTTCCTCCGGTGAGTTTCAGTCTGGGCTTGAGTGGAAAGGTCCACCTCCGACAGGATTCCCTAAGGAATGTGTCATCCCAGCATTTTCCCTGGAGGGAATGAAATGCATTTTTATCACCCCCAGAATGTGCCCCTTAGTCTCCTCAGTCCTGTAATGTGAATTCCCCAGGCCTTGGTTTTCCTGTCCGAGGAACTGCCCTCCCTGGAGCCCTGAATTTGCCCTTCCCACGTGGCCTAGCTAGTGCTGACTCAGGAGGAGGGATCTCTCTCCTCCCGTCCCTAACCCCAGGCAGGTATGAATGGGCCTCTTTCATGCTTTCACCCTTTAGCTTCTTCTGTCTCCTCATTAATATTCCAGACCCTGCAACCAGACACTTCTTGATGAGCCTTGAGGCTCTCCCTGGAGCTTTTCTTGCCTGCTCTGCCCTGGGATTAGACAGGACAAGGCCAAACATGTGGTTTTGCCCAGGGACCAAGAGAAGCGTGTTAGTGTAACACGGCATGCTTTCCTTCCGTCCACTGGAATATTTGTTATTAATATAGTTTGAGGTTTGGTTATTCTTTTTCAAGCTTCAATCATGTTTAATTACAGTAAAAAGTATACAGAGCTCTTAGGGCTTTGGGGAAAAAGACATGCCAGTTTCACTTAGAAAGTCACGATTCCATTGCTGACAGTGTGCACTCAGGACAAACATTTGCTTATATCTTGTGGCCCAAGGATAGAGACAGCTACCTCCTGCCCCTTTCTCAGATGGGCCCCCGGCAAGGTCCTGTGTTGATAACTGATGGATAGGTGGCTGTCATCTCCCCACAAATCCCACAAGATAGACAAGGGCACAGCTAGTGAGGACACAAAGCGGCTGATGAGCTCGCACTTGAACTAGAGCCTGCTTCCACTTAACCGTGTCTGGGACTTCTTGGCTTCCTTCCTTGGGAGAGCAGGCGGCCTAGTCGGGTTGGCTGTGATCACAGACCAGGCCTGCACGGCATCGAACTGAAGCTGTGCATCCTGGGAGGAAGAGGTTACTGAGCAGTGGCAGCAATACAGATGGGGCTTTTCCATGCCTGCCCAAAGTCCTCTTTGGTTTGTGGGGTAGCAGCCACGTCTCTTTTCTGCTGTTTAAGTAGGTATTCTCATTTGCCAAAAAGGCGCCACAGAATCCCTTAGAAGTGCACAGCTCTTGTGGTAGGGCTAAAGTTTTGCTGAAATTTAAAACCTTCTCTAATTGCATCCACATGTTTCAAAGTGTGGTCAGCTTTGTGTTTCCAGCATTTTTAGTTTTCTCCTTAGTGTCCTGAACAGATGAGAGCTAGGGAGTCTAACATGTGAAGTCCAAGGGAGCCCCCCTCCACCCCTACAAAGATTCTAACAGTCTTCCAAGTCCTGTTGCTCAAATCTTGACCCCTCCACACAGCCTTTCCTGAATGTGTTTATATTGATTTCTCCTGAAATTCTCTGTATAGCATCTGTATTCTGGATTACTGAGTTTCACACACAGTCACATGCTGATTTGTTTGTGGGGCAAATATTTGGTAAAGCTCAACAATTCAGGCCAGGCAAGGTGGCTCACACCTGTAATCTCAGCACTTTGAGGGGCCAAGGCAGGTGGGTCACTTGAGGTCAAGAGTTCGAGACTAGCCTGATCAACATGGAGAAACCCTGTCTCTACTAAAAATACAAAATTAGCTGGACGTGGTGGCGCATGCTTGTAGTCCCCGCCACTTAGGAGGCTGAGGCAGGAGAATCGCTTGAACCCGGGAGGCGGAGGTTGCTGTGAGCCGGGATCGTGCCTTCCCACTCCATCCTGGGCAACAAGAGCGAAACTCTGTCTAAAAAAAAAAAAGAAAGATCAAGAATTCAAAACTCTTAACTAGGGCAATTATACTGTAGGTGGCAAGGTCTGGAAAACCCTTCACATCACTCTACGCAAAAAGCTTGACATGTGATCAATGGAAAGTACATGGCTCAGGACGACCCAGATTATGCTGCAGGAAGAAATAACCTCAAGTTTTCATCCACAACCTTAAAACAACAAGGGTGCTTTTCTTTCTCGAGTTCACATCCAGCGCAAGTTTGCAGGGTGTGCGGCTCCTGATCCACATGAAGGGGACAGTTGCCATCTTGCATGTTGCTACTTGTTGACCAGAGAGAGGCTTCCATGGGGTCTCACATAAACAGTCAACGGCGACACTTCTGCGCAAAACTCCTTTTACCAAACTGACTTATGATCCCTGCAGGAATAAATTGCCAGTGTTTTTTTTTTAGCAAAAGACACATTCATAAACTTCTGGAGAGTGGGGACTCCGATGCTACTTCTTACAAACCTATTTCTCCCCTGTAGCTCGCTGTGGCTCACAGTAGAGATTCGATGGGTATTCTGACAAAGAATGTCTGTAAATCTAAAATGTGCTGTGCCCAATTAGGGAATTTTAAATAAACATTCAGGGCGACACCTAGTGGCTGTTCAGCACAGAGACCGTAAATTCCTCCCCAGGCACCTAATTATGTTAGGACAAAACATAATTATTCATATGAACGAATACATACACATCTCACAGTGTCCGTCAGCCCTTTTACACTCCTCAAGAACATAAGAGATCATTCCTAAAGCAGCATCACCGGAACATTATTTTCCTGTAAATTATTTTATCCTAGATGCCAGATGTTATGTTAGTAAGGGGTAAGGAAGGGAATCAGGGGAGAGAAATTATGTTTGAAATATTCACATTTTTGTGAACAGTTCTTTCAAAGTGTATAATTTACTTAAAATTCAGAAAATATCCATTTAATATTTGTTGTTGTTGTTGTTGTTGTTTGTGACGTAGTCTCGCTCTGTCGCCAGGCTGGAACGCAATGGCTTGATCTCAGCTCACTGCAACTTCCATCTCTCAGGTTCAAGTGATTCTCCTGCTTCAGCCTCCCGAGTAGCTGGGATTACAGGCGCCCGCCACCACACCCAGCTGATTTTTGTATTTTTAGTAGAGACGGGGTTTCACCATGTTGGTCAGGCTGGTCTCGAACTCCTGACCTCGTGATCTGCCCGCCTCGGTCTCCCAAAGTGGCTAGGATTGCAGGCATGAGCCACTGCGCCTGGCCATGTTTTTCTTTTTTAGTTTTTTTTTTTTTAAACAAAACTCTTTTTTTTGAGACAGAGTCTCGCTGTGTCGCCAGGTGCCAGGCTGGAGTGCAGTGGCATGATCTCGGCTCACTGCAACCTCTGCCTCCCGGGTTCAAGCAGTTCTCCTGCCTCAGCCTCCCGAGCAGCTGGGACTACAGGTGCACACCACCACACCCAGCTAATTTTTGTATTTTTAGTAGAGACGGGGTTTCAGCATGTTGACCAGGACGGTCTTGATCTCTTGACCTCAGGATCTGCCCACCTTGGCCTCCCAAAGTGCTGGGATTACAGGTGTGAGCCACCACGCCCGGCCAACAAAATTCTTGTTTATCAGAAATAGAAAATATCAATTTCTAAAAGAGAAAGCCAAGGGCAGGTGTTGCCAGGAGTCTGTGGACTGATGGAGGTGATTCTGGCCTTGGATTGTCTCACAAGCCTGACTTTCTCCCCACCTTGCTATCAGGACTTAATACCCCAACTATGCCTGGCAAACATTTTTCACAATTGCACTGTAATAATTTTGGCCAAGAAAGGTGGCTCATGCCTGTAATCCCAGCACTTTGAGAGGCTGGGACAGGTGGATCAGTTGAGGCCAGGGTTTGAGACCAGCCTGACCAGTATGGTGAAACCCTGTCTCTACGAAAAATACAAAAATTAGGCAGGGGTGGTGGCACATGCCTGTAATCCCGGCTACTCAGGGGAGGATCGCTTGAACTTGGGAGGCGGAGGTTGCAGTGAGCTGAGGTTTTGCCACTGCACTCCAACTTGGATGACAAAGCAAAAAGCAAGACTCCCTCTCAAAAACAAACAAAACAAACGAACAAATGCTTTAGAGGCTTGGTCAGTCTCACGCACTAGAATGGAAATCCCATCAGTGGCAACAGGAACCTTGTGAGGCTGGCTTGTCTGTGCTCCCCTGGCCCCTCCCAGGCCTGGGTGGCTCCATAAATCTCTGCGGGATGGCTGTGTGAAGGGCCAGTTGGAGGAGTGAATGGTATGCTCTTGGACATGTGCTTCTGTGATCCCACAAGGAAATGCATGTAGAAGAAATACTAAAAACACAAAACATGCCCTCTAACGCTGGCATCCCCTGTTAAAAACCCAAGAGCGGAGGCTGGCACTGGGAGGACCCACTCTTTCTGCTCTTTTCAGGAGGCTATTACTTGACAAGCGCATACGGAGCACTTTCCCTGATAAAGAATTTCCAAGAAGAACAAGCAGCACGACTGCTCAGCTCGGAGACCAGAGACACCCTGAGGCAGTGGCACAAACGGAGAACCACCAACCGGACCATCCCCTCTGTGGACGACTTCCAGGTGCGCAGCTGGCCACCCCTTAGCTTCCTTCGTCCTCCAGGAATGCAGAGCTGGCTAACCCAGTGCACCCCAGCTCAGAGTTCCCCACTGTGTTGAATTATTTGTCAGGAAAGGGATATCTCAAACCACCCTCTGGCCTTGTTACACTGCTCTGTTTTCTTTACATTTATATATGCATGGGATATTTGGCCCAAGTTTTGCTATCCTTAAGAAAACCAAATTGCATGAAGGCAGGATTTCTGCCAAAACAAGCAGGCAAGTCAAAAAGGAGGAGGAAGCGCTTGGCACAGGCATTGGAGATTTTGTTTCATCAGGAAACAGCCGCTGTGTTACGCGATGCAATTGGCCTAGTTTCTCTTTGAGAAGAGGGAGAAGATGTGATGTCTGTCCTCCTCTCCTTCCCTTTTCTCTCGCCCACTCTCCAAAACAGAAGACCCCAGGATCGCAGCAGCAGCAGCAACAGCTCTGGCAGCAGTGTGCAGCCCAGAGTGACTGGGAGAGCATCTGAGCGAGTCCTGCTCAGGTTGCCTGACAGGGCTTTTCCTGAACATGAGCTGCTGCTTGGGAATGTGGGATTCCCAATGGGCTTGTTTCTTATAAAGCAGAGGTGGGTTAGGGCTATAGAAATCTTTACCCAAGGCCAGGCATCAGGGCTCATGCCTGTAATCCTAGCACTTTGGGAGGCCAAGGCGGGCGGATCACTCGAGGTCAGGAGTTCAAGACCAGCCTGGCCACATGGTGAAACCCTGTCTCTACTAAAAAATATAAAAATTAGGTGGGTGTAGTGGCAGGCATCCGTAATCCCAGCTACTCAGGAGGCTGAGGCAAGAGAATCGCTTGAACCCAGGAGGCGGAGGTTGCAGTGAGCCGAGATCAAGCCACTGTATTCCAGCCTGGGTGACAGAGTGAGATTTCATCTCAAAAAATGAAAACAACAACAACAAAGGAAATCCTTACCCAACACAATAATTCCTGATTCATTCATTGTCTGTGAAATAATGAGTGAGTTGCCAAATGTCTTCAAATAATATTTTGAAGGTTTTTAATTAAATGATAAAACCTGCCTGTCCTTTGTTTATGTGTTCCCCATGATGAGTTTCCAAGCAGGGAGGGATCTGGAAAGCAGGACAGATTTGTCTACATGTCCACATTCACCTGCCTTGCCTTTTTTTTTTTTTTTTTTAAGATGGAGTCATCTCCCTCTGTCACCCAGGCTGGAGTGCAATGGCACAATCTCTGCTCACTGCAACCTCTGCCTCCCAGGTTCAAACGATTCTCCTGCCTCAGCCTCCGGAGTAGCTGGGACTACAGGTGCTTGCCACCATGCCCAGCTAATTTTTTTTTTTTTTTTTGTAGAGATGGGTTTTTACCGTGGTGGCTAGGCTGGACTCAAACTCCTGGCCTCAACTGATCCACCCACCTCGGCTTCCCAAAATGCTGGGATTACATGCGTGAGCCACCGTGCCTGGCCATTTTTTTTATAAGAGCTCTGAAAATAGAGGGTCAGATGAGGTGGCTCACACCTGTAATCCCAGCACCTTAGAGGCTGAGGCAGGAGGATCACTTGAGGCCAGGAGCTGGAAACCAGCCTGGGCAACAAAATGAGACCCTGCTCTACAAAACACAACACAAAATGTCAAGTTAGCCAGGCGTGGTGGTGGTCACCTGTAGTCCCAGCTACTCAGGCAGCTAAGGTGGGAGGATCACTTGAGCTGAGGAGTTTGAGGCTACGGTGAGCCATGATCACACCACTGCACTCCAGCCTGGGCAACAGAATGAGACCCTGTCTCAAAAACAAAAAAAAGACAAGTCGATCTTTGCAAGCCAAGATCAGCGCATTCTTCGCCAAGATTGCAGTATTCTCGGAAATTCCTTCTCAAGCACATAAACCTAAAGAGTGAGAATGCATGTGCTGTACACTCCCCACTCTGTTGCACTGTTTAAGAAGGTCCCCATGCCACTCAGCACATGCAGACCCCTGGGGTGCCATCATAGAGCCATCCAGGGAGGGGCTGCCTGAGGCAGAACAGAGGAAGTGAGGAAAGTTCGTTGTTCCCTCCCCCACCTGCCAACACACCCTTCCTCCTCCACCTCTTCACCTGGAGCCCCCAGACACCATGGAGCTGCTGCTTCTGCAGCCTCTCCCTCCTGCCCTCATTGACCCTGCTCACCTTGGAGGCGCACACCTTCTCAGAACGTAAACAAAGAGGGACATGCTCAGCATTCAGCTCAGGGGTCAAAGCAAAACCTCAGACCCAAGCTCCATCTGAAATCCCTAAATCAGAGGTCAAAGGCACAAAGGTTTTCTCACATGCGAAGAAAAAGTACACCTTAGCGGTAAAGGCGGTAGAGCTGACCCTGCCACATCCTAGCTGTGTGGCTTTAGGCACGTTACTTAGCCTCTCTGTGTCTCAGTTTCTTCACTGGTCAAAGAGGGATCATGTAGACCCTGTCTCTAAGGAAAAAAATGTTTAAAGGGTGTCAGTGTCACTCTGGGTGCTTCCCACTAGCTCACCTCTCTTGCAAAGTGACTGGGCTAGCAGAAGTCCTCACGGAAGCAGATACAAAACATATCAGATACATGTGCAGAGCTCACCATCCTTCCCCAAACTTTCCCTTCTATTGTCCCGGGAAACCCTCGTGGTGACCATGCAGGCACCTGGGCAGAGAGCCCTCCTTCCCTTCACTGCTGATCAGGGTTGCCAGATTTAGAAGAGGAAAATGTATTTGTTTTCTAGATGCAACTCAAATGTAACTGGGTGTTCAAGATTTCATCTGATAACTCCACTCTTAAGGAAACAGAAACAAAGTTATCTGGGGTCCCAAAACCTAAGAGAACCCAGTGTGAGTTTAAGATTCTTTATGCCAGGTCTGGGCTTTGTATCTTGTGAGATCACAGGTTTACATATTTCATGATAGCATGTGGCTGGCACGATTGCAGCGCCTGAGCCTGCAAATGTCTTTGTTTAATTTCTTGCAGCCTCACCTTGCACGTAATCAGCTCCATCTGCAAAGTATTTGGCAGAATCAACATTCTTCTCCTGACTTTTTCCACATTGTGTCCAGAGCCACTAGGAGCCTTGTATTAGATTGAATCACATGAAATCACCATTTAGGGGAGATAAAAAATAGTCAAATGTCAGCACTTTTTTTGTGTGTGTGATTCAACCTAAATTATTGCCCTTGTCTAGGATTATTTTAAAAGTATGTTAAAAGTGAGAACAAGCTGGGTGCAGTGGTGTGCACCTGAAGATTTAGCTACTCAGGAGGCCGAGGCAGGAAGATCACTTGAGTACAGCCTGGGCAACATAGTGAGATCCCATCTCTTAAAAGGAAAAGAAAAAAACAAAAAGTGAGCACAGTGTGTGCTGTTGTGTCGATATTTTAAATCTCTTTCTCCTGACTTCCTTCATACTCTTGTGCTATTTGGTTTATTTTTCAGGCTGGGAAAAAGCCCAGCATTGGATGTGGTTCACATTCTTAAGCAGGGGTTTCTTAGCTAGGCTTTATGAGGGATATGGAAAGATCAGAACCAGGCCTGCATGGACTTCTGGCTTCTTATAGTTGCAGTGAATCATGTAGTTATCCTTGCCGCTGTCCAAAGTCAGATAGCCTCTTTGCTTGCCATCCAAAGCCTCGTGGCCTGACATCAGACATTATGACGGGACAGGGTCTGGAAGTGGCTCACAGTTACCCCCTCCCCTGGTCTCCCATCATGCTCACCGTCTAGTTTTCTCTTCTGACTGTCTCAACATTCTTCTTCCACCTGCAGAATTACCTCCGAGTTGCATTCCAAGAGGTCAACAGTGGCTGCACAGGAAAGACCCTCCTTGTGAAACCTTATATCACCACCGAGGATGTGTGTCAGATCTGCGCTGAGAAGTTCAAGGTGGGGGACCCTGAGGAGTACAGCCTCTTTCTCTTCGTTGACGAGACATGGCAGCAGCTGGCAGAGGACACTTACCCTCAAAAAATCAAGGCGGAGCTGCACAGCCGACCTCAGCCCCACATCTTCCACTTTGTCTACAAACGCATCAAGAACGATCCTTACGGTGTCATTTTCCAGAACAGGGAAGAAGACCTCACCACCTCCTAGAGGACAGGTGGGACTTCCTAGTGGTGCATCCAAAGGGGAGCTGGAAGCCTTGCCTTCCGGCTTCTATGTGCTTGAGCTTGAAAAGCAGTCACCTCCTCGGGGACCCCTCAGTTTAGTGACTAAGCCATCCATAGGCCAACTGGGCCAAGGGCAACTTTAGCCATGCAAGGTAGCTGAGGTTCGTGAAACAGTAGGAGTCTCTTTTGGCAATGGAGAATTGCATTTGATGGTTCAAGTGTCCTGAGATTGTTTGCTGCCTACCCCCAGTCAGGTTCTAGGTTGGCTTACATGTATGTAGATGTGCAGAAGAAACACTTAAGGCACAAGCTCTTTTGAATTCAACAGCAGGTGTTTGACAAGACTGTCCGATGCAGCGCGTCAGGTGATCCTCACTCCTGTGGATGGCTTCATCTCTTCCTTCCTTCCTTCCTTTTTCCTTTTTTTTTTTTTTTTTTTACAAAGAGCCTTCATGTTTTTATATATTTCATAGAAATTTTTATAGCAGTTGCAGGTAAACTGTCAGGATTGGTTTTTAAAATATTTTTGTAACTTTAAAATATTCTATAATTATGCATGTGATTTTAACATTTAATATTCAAAAATAAATCTCTTGCTGGATTTGAGAGTATTGCATTTTAAAAGTCTCTCTTCTGTAACTGGATGTTTTGGCAACTTTGTGGGGAGAGACAGCTGGATTTCTTAAAGCCATGTATTCCTGACACTGGCCACAGAATGCCTTTGGAAATCGGATGTACTGTTACCTTGTTCACGTTTAGTGGTGTTTTGCTCTTTTGTTTTTTAAACAAATGATACTGAGAATAAGGAGAGAAACGAATGTAGAGAGAGGTAGAGAGAGAAATACGGACTCTAACAAAGGACTGAGGAGTGCAGTCTGCTGGTTCAGGCTCTTCGAAAGATGTGGAAAAAGAGATAGAACGAACCACCTATGCTTAAAATACTGTAAATATGCAATGAGGTTTGGCAAAATCTACTCCGTGTGTGATTTGCTTTTAGAAACAATTTTGAAAGCCCCCTGAGAAAAATAAAAATCGGGACTCCACGTTTGGATTCCTTTCCACGAACACCCGCTTCATTGAAGCTGTTTTTCTCTCTCCTGGAGTTCCCCTCTGGGGTCCCCTTCCACACTCTCTCGGGGAAGCCTGTCTTCCCCTCCTAAACTCCATCTCTCTCTATTCCCTTCCACTCAGTGTGGAGCTGCTTTTCTCTCCTGGATTGTATCTTTCTGGATTCTCTCACTCAGTGTGAGAGTTAGCTGTTTCTTTCTCTCTCCTTCTCCTGTTTGTCTCTCTCTTTAAATAAATCACTTCCTACAAACAAACGAACGAAAAATCAGGAAGAATACCTTTTCTCCCCTTTCCAGAGAAATTAAAACTAGCAGCATCAAACTATTGGGACCCGAAACCAAGTAATGTATAATGTGGCTTTTGTGGAGTTAAATAAGATGCTGCACAATGGAGAAAAAAATTGGAAATACACACACACAAAACTACATTATCAGAATCTACAGTGAAATTAAACTTACGTTAAATAAAACCAGTTTGCAGGTGCACAAACGATGAGGGTCTTGTATCCATGTAACACAGGTAGTTACAAAAGCACGCTATTGTACTGTGTAAAGATGCATAGTCATCTAATTTGGTTGGCTTTGTACCTTGTACTTTTTTTAGCCTTGGCTAGAACCCTCAGCATATACTGTGTTGTACTTCCTTTTGTAAATGATTTTTTTAATGGAATTTTGCACATAATACATTGTAATACTGTATGATAATCATGTGTGAAAATAATTTTTGAAATGTCCTTTGGTTGTCTTTTCTTTTTTCCTTTAGAGTAGGAATATATTCATGCACCGCACAGGGTCGTGGACAGATGAAATCCAAGCCAGGATTTGTGGTTAGAAGATCTATTCAGGGTGTAAGCAGAAAAGCTCACGTTTCTCAGAAGCTCCTTCTTTTTTTTTTTTGAGACTGAGTTTCGCTCTTGTTACCCAGGCTGGAGTGCAATGGTGCGATCTTGGCTCACCGCAACCTCCGCCTCCTGGGTTCAGGCAATTCTCCTCTCAGAAGCTCCTTCTGACAAAGGGCAAAAGTTAAGGAGCAGGAGGAAAAGATCATCTTCCCACCTGAGAATGTTTCTATGGTTTTCTGGTACAGTACTTGGCTTAGTTGGACCCGGAGCAAATCACAGGTAATTGAACAAGGAGTTAGCCGGGGCCCTGCAGACAGCCCCGCCCTGTCCTCATACCACCTCTGTAATGCCCTGGCTGACAGGTCAGCGCTGTTTCAGAACTGACAGGACAGAGGCTCAGTCTCCTCGCTGCTATACTCCCCATGCTTGGAATGGTGCCTGGCATATATTAATAGTAAGTGCTTAATAAATCCTTGTTAACTGAAGGAAGGAAAACACAAGTTTAGAAGGGTTTCTAACTCATCAGTGGGAGAGATCCCTAAAGATTAGAACGGGGACTGAATGGGCTGCTTGCTTTCGATGTTTACAATGAACTCAAAGATGACAGCTCAGTCCATATGGTTGCCCTTCCCACTCTTCAAACTAGGATCATCAGGCTTTGTTTTAAAGCAGGTCACAGCCTTTGGATGCGAGGCAGCCTGTGCAGCTTTCCGCGGGATGAGAGCAAGCCCAGAAAAGGAAAAGGTAGCGTGGGCAGAAAGCAACATCACAAGACAGTCCCTGGTTTCGTCGTTGGGCAATGCTTCCCTGTTAAAATTACAACACAGCATGCGCCTCCACTTTCCCCCCATGCAGGCATTTCTCACTTCCCAAATTGCCAGGAAACAGACTTGGGTGAAGGTTGGAAGGAATAAGAGGAGAGTAAATATACACATGCTGGGTGGAGGAAGAGGAGGATGCATGTCCAAATTTAAAAATATGTTATAGCTAAGGTGGGAGGATCGCTTGAGCCCAGGAGTTGGAGGTTGCAGTGAGCTACGTTCCCACCGCTGCATTGCAGCCTGGATGACAGAGAAACCCTGTCTCCACCCAAAAAAAGTAAAAATAAAAACATGTTATAAAGTTGAATGCTGGCCAAAAGAAGGGATTTTTTTTTTTAAATGTTGCATGCACTGCCAAATACTTTCACTCTAGCACCACCCCTCCCCCTGGGACACAGAATAGAAATAGCGACTGTTGAAGTAGTTCATACCATGTGGAAGTTACAACTTCCGATCTATGAGAAAATACAAAGGACAGGAAACCCAAGCATGAATGCTTCCATTCACAAATGTGGTTCCGTCCTCATTGGGCAGCTGTTACCTTCAGCTTCTTTAAGAGACTTGAAATGAGGGAGCACTCCAATCTCTAACAGCATGCCTGGTCATGCCTGGTCACACCTGGTGTGATTAAATTCTTCCATTTAAAAGTAGAGTTTGCCTGAATTCTGAGGCTCTATATAAAACACTTAGAATATGATTACACTAATGAATCTGAGTATTTCCTTTGACTGCACACATTAGAACTGCTATAGCCAGCTCTCATTTCTCACTGCTGGGGAATTGGGGATGGTCAGATCCTGCCACCTGGGGAGACGGGTTCAGAACCTAAGGACCAGGGGTGGCCAGGGAGGAGCTCCTTCCTAGACGGTGTGTGCCTCTGTAACCAGCCTTCGGTTTCCTGGGGGAAATACCACTACACCATAATTAGCTCCATTGCTTCCGTTTCTTCTCATTTCCCCAGCATGACTCTGTGGGCTGGGTTTTTCGTAAATGCAGTAGGTTCGAGGATGCTCTTACCTCTATTCCAACGCTCGTTGACAAAATGCAGGCTCTGATCCTTTTCACAGTTTGTTTCTGCAGTTCCAACCAGAGATTCAAAAACTGAACCCAGTCCCACTGCAAACATTACTCACCCACACTACCTGTCATCAAGGCTCGGTGTCCTCTCTTCTATTGAATAGGTGGCTCTCAGCTTGAAGTCACCTGGAGTCTTTTAAAACTCCCGATGCCCCAGCTGCCCAGCTTGTCAGAATCTCTGCAGAGGTGACCCAGCAGGCCACATTTATTTTAAACTTTCAAGGTGCTTCTGCTGTGAAAACCACTGGTTTAGATCAAAATGTGGATGTCAATATAAAAACACACCTGGGAGAAGTAACGCCTTGCCTAACCAAGACCACTGACAGCTAACCAAGCATGCACTCTCAACCTGATTTGGCTGGCAGAGGACCATGGAACGTGTACTTCTGGCCTGGTGCTATCCAGTAAGAATACGACGCAAGCCACAAAGGTGATTGTACATTTACTAGTGGCCACCTTTTTAAAAAGCAAAAGGAAATGGGTAGAATCAATTTTAGTAATTTTATTTAGGTCACCATATCTCAAATATATTTCAACAACTAATCAAAAATACCAAAGAGGTATTTTACATTTTTATTTTTTTATATTGTGTCTTCAAAGTCTTGTGTGTATTTTGTACCTATAGCACATCTCATTTCACACTGGCCATGTCTCAAATACTCAGTAGCCACATGTGGCTGGTGGTGACCATACTGGAGAGTGCAGTTCTAGCATATCAACTAGGATGATTTTAAATGTTAAAGAAGAAAGCTGTATGTGCATATAAAATAAAAATATATTCACAGGTTACATCTACAAAGGAACAGACACATGCATACTGTCAAATACATGTACCTGTTACTAGCCAGAGATGCAAATAGCATCTTGCCTCTTCAGGCGCTGCTGTAAGGCAAACATAAATTAATCCATGCAAAGTGCTTAGAACATCCAGGCACCACACCACAAGCACCGTTAAACGTTACTTAATATTATCGTCAGATAATTGGCTGCTTTGACATTTACCCCCTACTGCTTATTTCTGCTTACCCATTCACGCTATTATCTGCTGGCAAGTTTCTTGTGAAACAGAAGAAAGGCAGCAATGAGTATCAAAAGTTTAAGAAAAATGTATTGGGGCAGGTTGCTCAATGTAGGAAGGTCATCATAAAGTGAATACTAGTCATTAACTTTATGTTTGTTACTGCTGATGGTGGTGATGGTGGTGATGGTGGCGGTGGTGGCGGTGGTGATGGTGGTGTGTGTGTGCAAGTTGAGAGTAGCTCATTTTCCCCATTCCCTGCTGGCCAAGAGCATCATCAGGGCCCATAGCCAGTGGTGACTTTCGCCAAGAAGGGAAAAGAAAGCAAGGGAGTTTGCAAAGACACTTTGCTGACTTCCCAGTCACAGCCGCAGTAAAATCCCGAGAGGAACCATCTCTGCCTGCATAAGAGTCTAAAATGGTATTTCCCAGAAATAAATTATTAAATAAAAGCAGAAGTATAGTCAGTGATTATTTTAACAACTTTCCTCCACTTTTTTCCCCTTTTACTTTATTATATTCACTAATTTATATAGAATTTGTATGTACATTTATATCATTTAACAAGATTGTTCTTTAAAACATTGTGCTTTGCCAAGAAGAATATGGAGTTTAATGTGATTAATTTTCTTTATTTCTGATGTCATGCTTCTGATTTCTTGCCACTTCTACAGATTATGAGAGAATGCACTTATTTACCACATTACAGTTGCCATGCATTTTATCTTTCTCACTCCCATTTTTCTCTGGAGCCTATTGATGTACGATCTTACGCAGAACAGACTTATGCATCTATTATCTACTAAAAGAAAAACTACAGAAAACAATAAACTGCTAGCGACTCATTAACCAAGCAGAAAAAAAAAAATACGTAAGTGAACCAGCTAGGACATCACAAAACTTCTATTTTTTACTAGCACATGAAAATATGAGACTTGACAAATAGCCAACTCTCATTGAACAGATAGTTTAGAGTTTTGCTGTGAAAGCAGAGTCCATGAATCAAGCATCATATCTTTTGGGAGTCTGTGAGAATCTCAGACCCCTGGCAAACCTGCTGCATCAGAATCTGCATTTTAACAAGACTCACGTATGCATTCGAGTTCGCTTGAGAAGCATTGATTCAAGGTATATTTGGGGCAATGGCATTTGTGCCGCTGATACAAATACACAAATGTAGTAGGTGTGCTGCTCTTATAACCCTGCAGGAAAGGAGAAGAAAATAGCTCATAATTATTTTACTAAGAATAAGGCTAACTTCGTTTAAAATCGCATACATTATGGACAAAAGGCTTAACATGCAAATGTCAGGAGCCAAGTTTTTACTTCATTATATATGTTCAATTATATTCTTATTGCTTTGATGGGGAAAAGGGCTTGAAGGGCGGGGAGAAAAGATTCTGAAAATCAGGTTGGATTGCTGAAGTCAAACTTAATGATTTTGCTGAAGAGCGGCTTCTCTCACCTCCAACACCTGTGTGAGGGCAAACAGGGGCGGCGCAGGGGGAGCACTCTGTCTGGGCCAGCAGCTTGCACAAGCACGTGTCCATGCACAGATGTCGCCATGCAGTCTGCACAATTAATTAGTCGCACTGTCTGAATGTGACATGGGAAGTATATAAGATTTTTTATTATCTTAAAGAACAGCTGGGCCGGGCTCGGTGGTTCACACCTGTAATCCCAGCACTTTGGGAGGCCGAGGCAGGCGGATCA